GTCAAGACAGGACTGGTAAATACAGCTTGTCTTGTCAAAACAGGACTGGTAAATACAGCTTGTCTTGTCAGACAGGACTGGTAAATACAGCTTGTCTTGTCAGACAGGACTGGTAAATACAGCTTGTCTTGTCAGACAGGACTAGTAAATACAGCTTGTCAGACAGGACTGGTAAATACAGCTTGTCTTGTCAAAACAGGACTGGTAAATACAGCTTGTCTTGTCAGACAGGACTGGTAAATACAGCTTGTCTTGTCAAGACAGGACTGGTAAATACATCTGTCTTGTCAAAACAGGACTGGTAAATACAGCTTGTCTTGTCAGACAGGACTGGTAAATACAGTTTGTCTTGTCAGACAGGACTGGTAAATACAGCTAGTCTTGTCAGACAGGACTGGTAAATACAGCTAGTCTTGTCAGACAGGACTGGTAAATACAGCTTGTCTTGTCAGACAGGACTGGTAAGTACATCTTGTCTTGTCAGACAGGACTGGTAAATACAGCCTGTCTTGTCAAGACAGGACTGGTAAATACAGCTTGTCTTGAATATGAAGAAATAAATGAATGAATGAAAGAATGAAATGAGAGAATGAATGGATGAATATAATGAAATTAAATGAATAAAAACCACTTGATGAGTCAACCAACTGAATAGAAACTGGGGAAACAAAGGAAATAAACCTGACATAATAACACCAGGCAGAATAAATAAACCAATCAATAATAGAAGACAGTGACATAACAAGATCAATAGGGGTTGGGTACTTAAATAGATTGACTCCACCCTCAGTCCCCCCCTCCCCCTGGGAATTTTATTAGAGTACTAGGAATCATATTATTTACAGATACGATTACAAAAAATATAAAATAAATGTTAACAGAAAGTTAAAAACACATTTTAAGGAGGTTTTCTAAATTTTTGTATGTATATCAGGGACACTGATAGCATCAATTTATATCATTCTAATTTTACATCAGATGTCTGTGATTCCTGCAATTCTACTAAAAATAAGTGTTTGATGATGTCACTAATCACAAAATATGCTTGTATCACACACGCGATAAGTTTTAATGGAATTGCAGGAATTGATGTCTGAATGAAAATTAGAATGGTACAAATTGATGCTATCAGAGTTCCTGCTTTACATTAATGTTTTAAGAAAACCACTTTACAATCTCATACCTGCATGTTTAAAGAATTAAGAAGACGTGAAATATCAGGGAGATTGTAGAGAAAACTTGATCACACACGATATTTCTCCTCAAACAGACAATAAAACTCCAAATACTGATGCAATTGGTAAAATTCATAAATTTGGCAATTTATTCCAATAACTGAGTGAAAACACTGTGAAATATTCCACCACAGAACAAGTTTAGAAGAAGAATTGTCAGAATACTTATACACTTAAAATTCCTGCTAATTCTGAACCTAATTTATTTGCAGTTTAGCTCCAGGCCTTGCAGACATGGAACTCCTTTGTCCTGGGTCATTGACTGGAACTAGTTTCAATAACTAGCAGACGTGAGTGTGAGTGCGTATGAATACACAGTGTGTAGAATTATTGATTTTTCCAGTGGTGCTATGTTACAACAAGTTCCTGGTAATATTTAACATGGTTATGATGTCATAGGACTAGACAAGTAGGTTATAATCAGTAACAGTGACAGTATTTAATATCTTATTAACCAGTCCTGTCTGACATGTTATAATACTAGACAAGTAGATTATAATCAGTAACAGTGACAGTATTCAATCTCTTATTAACCAGTCCTGTCTGACATGTTATAATACTAGACAAGTAGATTATAATCAGTAACAGTGACAGTATTTAATATCTTATTAACCAGTCCTGTCTGACATGTTATAATACTAGACAAGTAGATTATAATCAGTAACAGTGACAGTATTCAATATCTTATTAACCAGTCCTGTCTGACATGTTATAATACTAGACAAGTAGATTATAATCACTAACAGTGACAGTATTCAATCTCTTATTAACCAGTCCTGTCTGACAAGTTATAATACTAGACAAGTAGATTATAATCAGTAACAGTGACAGTATTTAATATCTTATTAACCAGTCCTGTCTGACATGTTATAATACTAGACAAGTAGATTATAATCACTAACAGTGACAGTATTCAATCTCTTATTAACCAGTCCTGTCTGACATGTTATAATACTAGACAAGTAGATTATAATCAGTAACAGTGACAGTATTTAATATCTTATTAACCAGTCCTGTCTATCATGTTATAATACTAGACAAGTAGATTATAATCAGTAACAGTGACAGTATTCAATCTCTTATTAACCAGTCCTGTCTGACATGTTATAATACTAGACAAGTAGATGATTTTAAAACAAGGTATAAATTATAAATGAAAGTGATTTACCAGGGATGCTATTCTTGTATTAACCAGTCATGTCTGACAATATTGAATGAGAAGTCTGAACAGATGTTGATAAGGAATATTGATTGTCATTAATTTCTATAATGTTTGATTGATGCTGAAAATAGCACATGACCTATTGACCTCTAACAGCTATAATAGTCATCATTCAGACAACTACTCAGTCAATTATTTCAACCACTTGTATCCCTTTTCAAATTGAAATACAGTACGTTACAATCTGATCAACTACAATCTTAATTTCCATTTCTCTCAATTAAAGTTATACTACCTCTTAGAATGGACATAAAATTTATAATCTCAAACTTGGTCAATAAGAGTATATATTTATCAGTTAGACTTACCAGGTGTCATAACTAAACAATAGAATCTCTATATAACATGATATATCTTTTGAACTAAATCATTTTTTGGGCGCCCCTCCCCCCAACATTTTTTAAAAAGTAAGAACATAATACTGCCCTTAGTATAACCATTTTATATCAACCTTTTAGATACTTTATTTGGTTTTTCTTTTTTTAATTTTGTATTATTTTCTTGGAGTGAGGCCTCCCTTAGCGTTGGCATTTCTGAGAAACATTAGGTGGGGAGACGGCCGAGCATCTGTTCCTTAGGGTGGAGGCCCGTAGACTGTGTACAACCAGTTGTTGGGCCACTGGCTTTATAACTATTATTTAATAAAGATTACTATATCTTTGAATATGTCAAAATTTATCCAGTTTATATTTTTAATTTAGGTTTGTTAGATTTTAGTACTACTAATTTGTAATCAGTTATTTTACATCACCAACGTACATACCAAACTACAGATTGATCATACATAGAAATAACATAGTTCACAACCATTTTAAATCACTATCTTGATTTTTTAAAAAGGTTATAATATTTCAACAAAACCTTCAAATTATATTTTAAAGTCAGTTCTAAATCTTTCAATGTAACTTGAAGGTTTTGTTGAAATGTTAGATATTTGAAGTATTAAGTCATAAGCTAGTATAATATTATAAACTATCAATATAACTACAACTAACTATAGAGAAGAGAGAATATCATTACAGCAATTTCTTTCTCAATCTAATTTAAATTAGATCACAATTTCCTTTCCTTATTATTTTTCATTTTACATTGAAATCTAACAGGATTTATACCAAGGTTGTGTACTGGTGATGTTCACTTCAACCAATCACAGCACGCCATTTAGAACCTGTGTCTAAATATCAACTATGAATTGTGGGAAAGCGAAACCTAAAGTAGAATGATATGATATGACCAATGAGATTATGAGACTGACGATATTCACTTGTAACAGTGATTCTGATTGGTTGGAGAGTGGTGTGTGATTGTCTGCTATAAATAGCTAGAAACATCACCAGTACACAACCTTGGTATAAATCTTGTTAGATTACAATGGAGACCAACAACAAAATAATCAGGAAACGAAATTGTAATTTTATCTTAATTATTTTGTACCAAGCAAAACTTTATTTTCTTATTATGAAATGTTTAAAAACTTTCATCAAAATTATAATTACTAAATAGTTACTGTTTGAATCAATATTAAAGATTGTAAAGAGGTTTTCTAAATTATATGTATATCAGAGACACTGATAGTATCAATTTACATCATTCTAATTTTCAATCAGACGTCTGTGGTTCTTGTTAAAGAGATTGTAAAGAGGTTTTCTAAATTTTATGTGTATCAGAGACACTGATAGTATCAATTTACATCATTCTAATTTTACATCGGACGTCTGTAGTTGATGCAATTCTACTAAATCTAAGTGTTTCATGACGTCACTAATCACGAAGGGCCTTATTTTGCTATTAGTGACAACATCAAACACTTACATTTAGTAGAATTGCAGGAACCACAGACGTCTGATTGAAAATTGGATTGGTACAAATTGACGCTACACATATAAAAATTTAAAAAATGCAGCCATTATGAGTGGGTATAAAATACAATAGAAGCTGAAATTAAATGTCTAGAGATAGAGAGGAGGCTGTTTGATTGGTGAGTTCCAGACTTTCAGGAATCAACAGAACTTTTAATCAATAAAACAAGTTCAATGAGTGCCGAAAAATAGTAGGTGCAGACGGAATTTAAAATGGCGTTACTAATATTTTGAATGTGACATATCAGCTTTCAAACCAATCAATTAAAGGGACAGGTGCATCATTTTGGGGTGTTGATTTGAGTCTTGAATATATGTAAATAGTCTTCAGAAGTACTAGAAATGTACCAAAATCGTATAATTCCTTTAAAAATACCTCAAACTATGAATTTTACTCACTATTTCTATAGATATCTTTTCTATAAATCACAGAGTATCTTAAATTGATGAGTCGTCTTTTTAACATTCAAACCCAGATAATTCTAGACACACATGGATTTGAAGACTCAAATTTCAATGGTGAGCTAGAAAATTCCTGTTTTTTAGACTAGAGTATGATTGGTCAAAATAATGGCGCACCTGTCCCTTTAAGGGCCTGTTCAGAACTCGACAATCAAGCGCCACCTATGATTTTACAAAGAAAGCTTCCCAATCACCAACAAAAAGTAAAAATTAGGAATAATTTCAAACCTGTTCAATGGTTTCTTTCTGCAAATTAACAAAAATAAACAAAATAAAAACAAGATGCAATAAGTACGGCAAAGGTAGACAAAAACTTAAAAATACAAATCAAACCAACAGAAGCAAAATAAAACAAAGCAAATGAACAAAATTAAAATATAAAATTAATGAAATTTGTATGAAATATTCTTGTGTTAAAGGGGCATTCTGTTTTTTTTGGCGGTCAAAAATTTTTTTGGTTTAATTTGTGAAAACTATACACAAAAATCTAGAGAAATGTGTACCTCAACGTTTTTGAGAGACTTAACTAAAAAAATCCAGCCGTTATTTTGGAAGCTGTTAGAAAGCTACTGTATGGATTTAAGTAAAATAAACGCCTAATTGTAGAGAAATATGTCTTCTACGTATTCTAAAGATTTCAACTAATAATATCAAGCCATTATAAAGTCAAACACCAAAACTAGGTCAAACTGCTTAATTAACAATTAGCACTCTCTGTTTTAATGAACTCTTTTAAAACCAATTCAGTTTGATCAAGAAGATATATAGATATAAATAACATACTTTAGAAATATTTTCAGGTATAATTTAGGATGTTTTTGCATACCCGTTGAAGGGTTCTTTGTAATATTGTTTGATAATTAAAGAAGCAATCATAGATTGTAACAAAGGGTAAGATTTGATGTCATGCTGAATATTTAGACCACTACGTACTACGGTTTTTAATTGATGGATCCAGAAACTATCTATCTATAATCGCTTAGTTTTGGGTTTAACAGTGGGCAATGAGGGAATTTTTTCGATAGGAATATTTTACGTCGTTATTAATAATGAAAATTTTGCAGACTGCCCCTTTAAACATGTATTATGATATTATGTTTTATGATGTTGAAATAATTTTACCTTCTGTAGGAGGTGTTTCCCAGCTGGATGTTTCGACTGTAATCTAGGATCAGTCGGTTCCTCTGGAGAGTCCACATGAGGAATACCAGATGTTTTAGGAGGAACTGGTGGTTTGGCACCACGTTTGGCAGGCTGCAGGCAAAAGTTAAAAATAGAACACTGTTAGTACACAAACAACATGCAGGACCATGCTCTTCTACTCATTATTTTCATGGGTTTACCAAAAATTAAACAGGATTGTAAAGATGTTTTCTAATGTTTTATGTATCAGAGACACTAATAGCATCAATTTGTCACTGTTGACGTCTGTGGTTCCTGTAATTCTACTAAAACTAAGTGTTTGATGATGTCACTAATTGTGAAGGCCTTATGTAATAAAGCATATTTTGCTATTAGTGACGTCATCAAATAAGTTTTAATGGAATTGCAGGAATCACAGACGTCTGATGTAAAATTAGAATGATGTAAATTGATGCTATCAGTGTCTCTGAAACACTTAAAAAATTTACAAAACTTCTTTACAATCTCTTTAAGTCTAGAATATTCCAACATGAGAGAGGTATGTAAGACAGAATTATAAAAAGGAGAAGAGCAATCATCTTTCTTTTACAACAAGTACATTCAGTCATGCTATATTTCAGTAAACTGATCGTTACTAAGTAATGTTACACAATGTTACTAATATTACTAGAAGTTCAGGGTATATGATGTTTTTATATTTAAACTCTGGTTATTTTTAAAGAGACCTACAACGCTGTCAACTATTCACAAATAATTTTAACTAATTCAAATCTTTAACCTGGTTGACAAATTCTCATTTTTTACGACTTGGTGATCGATTTCCAAAAGAAATGATTTTTGTTTTATTTGAAAGTAGATGGCTAGTAGACTTCCCAGAAAAAAGTCCCAAAGAATTCGGCTTAGGGGAAAAAATGAAAATTTCCCTTAGAAATGATTTTTTTTTTTTTGGGAAGTGAGCAGGGGCGAAGTGGGAAAGGGGCGAAGTGGGAAAGGGCAAAATAGTAAAGGGCAATATGGAAAAGGGAGAACAGAGATGGGGCGAAAAACTTACAGGCGAAAATAAAAGGGGCGATTGGAAGGGGCAATATGGGACGACACTGTCACTATCAGGTCTAGCAATCATTAAAACACGAGAGAAAGAGAGAGAGAGAGAGAGAGAAATAGAATACTTACAACTGGAGGCTTAGACTTGGGTAGGGCAGGCACTTGTTCAATCACAGTAGACTGAAAATAATATCAATAAATCAATAAATATACCATCAAAACTACAAAACAAACCTTAAAATAGCTTGACAGGCAGAGTAATATACACCCACTGGTGTCTTCTAGATTGTTATATGGGCAATAACTCAAATTGAATATATCTTGATTTTTCTGAATTTCAATAGGGTTCATCCTTGGGTGATTACAAACAAAAATAGCAAGTTTCATCTAAATCCTTCAAGAATTGTGCCTTCGGGAGGGCTCATAAAATGTCATGAACAAGGGCAATAACTCATGTTATTTATTGACTTACCTTATCTGGACTCTCTGGTCCTTTTATTTGAGCATGTTCCAATTGTAGTTGTTGAGTCGTGGCTGTAGTTTCATCTGAGAAATCAGCAGGGAAACGTTTTATCACTTCTTCTCTTTCTCTTCTTAGTTTCTCCTATCAGAAATAAATCAGAGTTATTTTAAAAACATAGAAACAAACAAAACTTCCAGCAAACTTACATTGTTATAGGACACTAAACTAGTTCGGAGTTACAATTACTTTAGGAGATATTGCCTGATGCATTGTGGGATTGAAGGGAAGATAAACAAACTGAGTTCGCTCTTCAGAAACTAGGGAGATGTTTTGAAAATGAGCGAGACAGCTGTAAATCTACACGTTCCAGAGCCTTACTTGATAATCTAGTCTAATACGCCTCGGAATGCACCTATTGTTCGAGTCACATTATCCTGTCGCTGGAAAGGGCAGCCACGTGATTGGTTAAAACAGAGGTCAAGCAAAGGTTAACAGAATGACAGTGTTAGACCTGACTGGAGTGGTTACGTACAAAGCTAATAGCTAATAAAACATTCGGAATGAAACTAATAAAATACGAACGGAATTGACAAACTCATAAATTGTGTTTGGGTGTTTTACACCAATATAAAAATCAACAATGACCTTTTGACCTCATTGAATTATCTCTCTACATGTTTGAGCGATGTGAAACTGGGAAATGGCTTAAAGTATGTTATTGACAAGACTAAGCCAGCCAGTTTATATTTATGTGTCAGTAGAACTAACTTTCTGTCTGGAACATGATATATAACGTTATCTCAGAAATTTACAAAATACACTATACTTTTTGTCTCTTTCAGGAAAAATATCAAAAATAATCCAAATGATGAGAAAACCTACTAAAAGTTATCATTTTGAAATATAATTAAAGGCATTGTAAAAAAATTGTTTATGTATATCAGAGACACTGATAGCATCAATTTACATCATTCTAATTTTACATCAGATGTCTGTGATTCCTACAATTCTACTAAAACTAAGTGTTTGATGAAGTATAATAAAGTATATTTTGTGATTAATGTTTTTAAGCTGTATATATATGTCAACTTGTTAGCAAGACAAAGATGGTTATTAGGCAAGAAGCTGAAAAGAAGACATTTTGTTAGCCTTAAAAGCTGAAAACTTGTTAACTGAAAGATTCAATAAATAAACCAAGTACTAACAATCCGAACTTCAAAATGAAATCATAAATCAAAAACAACATATTGGTGAAACATTGGTGGCAGCTAATAAACTTTTCATATGAGGAAGTATATCAGTTATAAATGAGTAAATATTTTATAATGAAAAGTGGTATCAGGTGTCTAGAAGAGTAAACATACCCTGTCTGGTGCCACACCCGTCATAGCTGCCTTATTCTTAAAAATTTAACTTAAAATGATTTTAGTGTTCCAGTCATCTGATTGGTCAATGACTTGAATTGATTTTAAATTTTATTTCATTATCCAATCAGATTACTGTATTTCTTTTTCTTTCTTTCTTTTTAAGTTTTGGAGAATAATGCCTGTGTTTTAAATGAAAATCTTAAACTTGGATATTTGTGAGTATTTAATTGATCTGAGTATATAGAGAGAGAGAGAATAAGCTGAGAGAAAGAAAAGCATTCTAGATATAGGATAACAACTGTTACCATGGTAATACTATCTTCTGTCTCCCATTCTGCTGATTCATGCAGCATTTCTACTTCCTATAATATATACATCGATAAGTCGTTCTTATAGTTAGATTACAGAGAGATTCTGTTGTATAGTTAGATTATAGAGAGATTCTGTTGTCTAGTTAGATTATAGAGAGATTCTGTTGTCTAGTTAGATTATAGAGAGATTCTGTTGTCTAGTTAGATTATAGAGAGATTCTGTTGTCTAGTTAGATTATAGAGAGATTCTGTTGTCTAGTTAGATTATAGAGAGATTCTGTTGTATGGTTAGGTTATAGAGAGATTCTGTTGTCTAGTTAGATTATAGAGAGATTCTGTTGTCTAGTTAGATTATAGAGAGATTCTGTTGTCTAGTTAGATTATAGAGAGATTCTGTTGTCTAGTTAGATTATAGAGAGATTCTGTTGTCTAGTTAGATTATAGAGAGATTCTGTTGTCTAGTTAGATTATAGAGAGATTCTGTTGTCTAGTTAGATTATAATTCTGTTGTATAGTTATAACACCAGGTAAGTCTACTGATGAACAAAGACTTATTTTAACCAAGTTTAGGTCAATCCAAGAGGTAGTATATCACTTGACATGAATGATTGGGAATGATTTGATGAATAGGGTGGTGTTTGATTAGAGAGTTCTGAACAGGTTCTGTCTGTTCTAATTCTGTTAATTCTCTTCCAATATGTCAAATTCAAAATGTTCCCATCTATTTCTTTCTCTGTCATTTTGAATTCTGTCTACACCTACTATTTTAACGGCCCACCTGTAATGAGTTCTGAACTTGATTGAACTTTCTGTTGATTGCTGAACCTGTAGAACTCATCAATCAAACAGCCTTGTGTTTGAAAAGCCACAAACATCTTGTACAACCATGAAAAGAGATTGTAAAGAGGTTTTCTAAATGTTTTATGTGTATCAGAGACACTGATAGCATCAATTTACATCATTACAATTTTCAATCAGACGTCTGTGGTTCTTGTAATTACACTAAAACTAAGTGATTGATGATGTCACTTTTAACGAAGGTCTTATGTGATAAAGTATATTTTGCGATTAGTGACATCATCAAACACTTAGTTCTAGTGGAATTGCAGGAACCACAGGCGTCTGATTAAGATTAAGAATGGTGTAAATTGATGTTATCAGTATCCCCAATACACATACAAAATGTAGAAAACCACCTTACAATCTCTGAAAGCAAAACTGCACCAAAAAACAAACAAGAAAATAAAGTGAAGAAGAAGAAGAAAGTGAGAAGAAGTGGAAAACTAACCTTTCTAATGGCCGCCGTATCTTGATCTTCTCTATCAATACTCGATACAGAACCTTGACGAGACGAGGCGAAAAACCCAACCGGACTACCAGGAGAAGATAACTCTGAATTACTCTGTGAAGGGTCGTAACCCTCACATACCATAATACTCATCTTTTCTCCTACACTACGTAAAGCTCGAACAGCTTCCTGATGAGAGGCACCCAGTAAACTCTGACCATTAACCTACAGTAGAACATATTTTACCTTTAGTTATATACTTTATATAATATTTCATCAATACAGTTCTTCCTTAAAGGGACACCATTTATTTCACCAATCATACCTTAGTCTCAGAAACAGGAATTTTTTACCTAAACCAATCAGTAATAGTGTCCATAGCTCACTGTCGAAATTTGAGCCTTTAAATCCATGTGTGTACAGAATTATCTGTGTTTGAATGTTAAGATAGTTTGCCAGGCAAGGTGATATACACCCACTTGCAGCTTTGATTTTAAATAATAATATTTAGCAGTACATTAACAATCACCAGTATGAAATATTCAACCTTCAGTCATACACTTCTTTTGAACTTTTTAGGGCGATACTGAATAATATTACCAAGTTTCATCAAAATCTGTCAAGAATTGTGCCTTCTAGAGTGTTTTCAAGCTACAACTTGAACACATTTTCAAGAACAAGGGCAATAACTCATACCAATTATTTTTCTATTTTTCTGATTTTCAATAGGGTTCATCCTTGGGTGATAACATACACTCACACTAAGTTTTGTCAAAATCCGTCAAGAATTTATTGTGTCTTGTTTACGAGCAATTGTAGACTGACGGACAGACATGGGTGACACCAATATACTCTCTACATTTCATATTGTTATATAAACATTAAAAATACCTCTAAAATTCTCTGTCCAACACTCAATCTCTTGTCTCTAGCTACGGCACCATCATCATTAATCTGAAATACATACAATATTATAGTTAGTGTTAATACAGCTAGGTATCAATGGTAGACTACCAATCAATAATCAAAATATTTCATGTGAAAAACCAACTGAATTAAAACCATATACACATTTTGAATTTTGAATATAGCCACTTCGGTTAGGATCTAAAGACGGCCTTTTTGAACATTTGTCAGTTTAATGACACTGCAAACTAAGATTTTGTGATGCAAACAAAAAGTACATTCAGTGTCTAATGCTTCTCAGAATACATCTTTTATTGACGTCACAAAATCCTAGCTTTAGAGAGGACAGGAATTTGATTGGCTGGTAGTTTCATCAAACTGACTAATGTCCAAGAAGGCTGTCTTTAGACCCTAACTGAAATGACTATACGTGAATATAAAAGTTAGGAAAACTCACCCTAGAAATAAAGATACCCTCATCATTTCTATCTGAAGGATTAGCTGGATAATTTTTTAAACCACCTTTAATACTCATTCCTAGCTTCTCACCAGGAAGTTTGATCACAACCAATTCATGTAAACCTTGTGGTGGAGGATCATGACGTACTTGTAACTTGATTTGATGTGTTGGAGCTATTAATTCCATCACAGCCTCTTGATGTGTAGCTCTTGTTACATCTTTACCATTAACCTGTTCAAAACAAATAAAATATCTGTACAAACAAGTTAATTCCATTAATCAAAAATCTTGTCTAAAGTATGGTAAAATCTAGAGTAAAAGTTGTATAGTAGTGGACTCCTCTAAAGAGAAGTAACATCAGGTGATTTGAAAAGAGCAAGCATGGAAATAAGAGTTTTTTTCATCATGTGCCTAAAGCCGGTAGGTGATTTATTCACGCGTCTGTCATATCCAGAATGAGGCTCATAACGCAAACAAAGGTAACAGCTTGTCACTGCCGTAAAATCTCCACCTTGAGGTTTTTAAAACCCCCTTCTCCAATCTCACTAACTCTATATTCTATATCATTAATATTAGAATTGATTTTCTCACTGTTGAGCGTGTATTTTATGACATCAAAAAGGCCACCTTGACATTTTTAAAACCCCCTTCTCCAATCTCACTAACTCTATATTCTATATCATTAATATTAGAATTCATTTTCTCACTGTTGAGCGTGTATTTTATGACATCAAAAAGGCCACCTTGACATTTTTAAAACCCCCTTCTCCAATCTCACTAACTCTATATTCTATATCATTAATATTAGAATTGATTTTCTCACTGTTGAGCGTGTATTTAATGACGTCAAAAAGGCCACCTTGACATTTTTAAAACCCCCTTCTCCAATCTCACTAACTCTATATTCTATATCATTAATATTAGAATTGATTTTCTCACTGTTGAGCGTGTATTTAATGACGTCAAAAAGGCCACCTTGACATTTTTAAAACCCCCTTCTCCAATCTCACTAACTCTATATTCTATATCATTAATATTAGAATTCATTTTCTCACTGTTGAGCGTGTATTTAATGACGTCAAAAAGGCCACCTTGACATTTTTAAAACCCCCTTCTCCAATCTCACTAACTCTATATATTCTATATCATTAATATTAGAATTGATTTTCTCACTGTTGAGCGTGTATTTAATGACGTCAAAAAGGCCACCTTGACATTTTTAAAACCCCCTTCTCCAATCTCACTAACTCTATATATTCTATATCATTAATATTAGAATTGATTTTCTTACTGTTGAGCGTATATTTAATGACGTCAAAAAGACCACCTTGACATTTTTAAAACCCCCTTCTCCAATCTCACTAACTCTATATTCTATATCATTAATATCAGAATTGATTTTCTCACTGTTGAGCGTGTATTTTATGACGTCAAAAAGGCCACCTTGACATTTTTAAACCCCCTTCTCCAATCTCACTAACTCTATATATTCTATATCATTAATATTAGAATTCATTTTCTCACTGTTGAGCGTGTATTTTATGATGTCAAAAAGGCCACCTTGACATTTTTAAAACCCCCTTCTCCAATCTCACTCACTCATAATTAATATTCTATATCATTAAGCTATTTAATGATACTTTTAGATGAATTTTACCTTCTCATATTTCAGAGAAAGGGCAATTTTAAGCCTATTTTCTCGCTGTTTAACAAGTGTTTAATAATGTTAAATAGGCTATTTATTCATATGACGTCGCCATCTGATCAATAGATGACATAATTTGCATTATAAACCTTGGTTTCAGTGTCTTCAAAACAAGGCATGAATAAGGTTTATATTGACTCCTAGTAGGTTCAAGCTAGAGAAAGGCGCTAAGTCCATGGAAATACTGAAATTAATCAAAGACAATACTTACAGCTAAAATTCTGTCACCTATTTTTAGATTTGTTTTACAAGCAGCACCATCTTTAACAATCTAAAACAGTACACAATCTTTCGAATTAAAATATCCTAGATTAACATACGAGTATTAATATTATAAATTAACCATTTCATAACGTCAAAAATAACGTTTTCTTCACTTGATGTCCCAGGGCCTTATTCTCCAAAACTTAACTTAAATAAAATCTAGATTTATAGCTGATTGGATAACGAAATTAAATTTAAAATCAATTTTAGTGATTGACCAATCAGATGGAACAAGAATAATATTAAGTTTTTAACAATAAGGCACCAGGTTATAATATTATATTACACAAAAAGGCTGCTCTATTTGTCAGTTCTGCACATTCAGGATTTATAGAATTAACAGAACATTCAATAAAACAAGTTGAAACAGAGTTCAAAATTTCACGTGTGCTGAAAATATACATGGAGACAGACCTTAAAGAGAAGAAAATAGATGAGAACATTTTGAAAAATGAAAATGAAATGAATGGAGTTTTACGTGCTACTTTTCTGCATCATGTGGGCTGATTTCTGAATTTTCAACCCTTTGAGAACAACACCTCATCAAAAATATTGGATTGGTGCATTATCTGTCCATCGGAAGGCAGCTTAACTATCAACTGTTCTTCACACCTGGTATTTTTAGTCGTCTGAAAGCGACAGATTAATCTTAAGCTGCCTTAACTTGCACCAACTTGGAGGTGGCTTAAAACCTGGCTAGAATAATTATGCTTACCTTGGAAACAAAGATACCAGGCTGATCAGCACCAAAGGGTTGACTGGAGTGATCACTTCCACCCACTATACTTAACCCTAGTGGACCTCCAGCTTTATTAATTATTATCTCCTACAATCAACAAATCATTCAATATCAATCAACAAATCATTCAATATCAATCAACAAATCATACAGTATCAATCAACAAATCATTCACTATCTATCAACAAATCATACAGTATCAATCAACAAATCATTCAATATCAATCAACAAATCATACAGTATCAATCAACAAATCATACAGTATCAATCAACAAATCATACAGTATCAATCAACAAATCATTCAATATCAATCAACACATCATACAGTATCAATCAACAAATCATACAGTATCAATCAACAAATCATTCAATATCAATCAACACATCATATGGTATCAATCAACAAATCATACAGTATCAATCAACAAATCATTCAATATCAATGAACAAATCATACAATATCAATCAACAAATCATTCAATATCAATCAACAAATCATACAGTATCAATCAACAAATCATACAGTATCAATCAACAAATCATTCAGTATCAATCAACAAATCATACAATATCAATCAACAAATCATACAGTATCAATCAACAAATCATACAGTATCAATCAACAAATCATACAGTATCAATCAACATATCATACAGTATCAATCAACAAATCATACAGTATCAATCAACAAATCATACAGTATCAATCAACAAATCATACAGTATCAATCAACAAATCATACAGTATCAATCAACAAATCATACAGTATCAATCAACATATCATACAGTATCAATCAACAAATCATACAGTATCAATCAACAAATCGTACAGTATCAATCAACAAATCATACAGTATCAATCAACAAATCATACACTATCAATCAACAAATCATACAGGATCAATCAACAAATCATTCAGAATCAATCAACAAATCATACAGTATCAATCAACAAATCATACAGTATCAATCAACAAATCATTCAGTATCAATCAACAAATCATC